GCCCCGCAATAAAAACTTGTTGTCCTGCAGCCTATAATCTAATATAAAGTGTAGTTATCTGCTTTTGCAGCTCTTTGGGATCATTCTAACCCCGAACCATGCCCTTCCCCCACCACCCCAACCCCCAACCCCACACACGAGGTGCTATCACACACTTTGGGAAACAAAGCCATAGTCCATTAGAGAAAAGCTAAGTTTTAAAATGTCTAATTTTAAAATGTTAGGGTTCTCTGCTCTTAGTGAGCAGGAAAAGTTCATCTTTTAAGGACAAAACAGATATAATCTTATTTTTCTTAATTGTGGAGCCAAGCGGTGCCAAACACTGCAAGATTACTCCAGCAGTTGTTCTATAGTAAACTAATGAATTTTTAGCAGTCTTTTTCTAAAACAGATTTGCTAAAATTAGATCAGTATCTTCCTTACCCTAAAATCTTTTTTAAAAAATACTTTTATTGGGGGCTCTTACATCTCTTATCACAATCCATACATTCCTTCAATGTGTCAAGCACATTTGCACATATGCTGCCATCATCATTTTCAAAGCATTCTCTTCCCACTTGAGCCCCTGCCATCAGTTCCCCATTTCTTCCCCCTCCCTCATCTGCGCTCCCTCACGAACCCTTGATAAGTTATAGATTATTTTTTCCATATCTTACATCGTCCTCCATCACCCCTCACCCACTTTTCCATTATTCGTCCCCCTGGGAGAGGGTTCTAGATTGATCCTTTTGATCGATTCCCCCTTTCTACCCCCACCTTCCTCTAATCCTCCTGGTTTCTTTACTCTCCTTATTGGCGCTGAGGGGTTTATCTATCCTGGATTCCCTGTGTTTCGGGCTCTTATCTGTAGCAGTGTGCATGCTCTGGTCTAATCTGATTTGTAAGATAGAATTGAAGTCATGATAGTGGGGGGGAAGGAAGCACCAAAGAGCTAGAGGAAAGTTGTGTGTTGCATCAGTGCTATACTGCACTACTGCACCCTGTGTGTTAGTCTGGGTAGACTAGAGAAACAAATCCATGGACACACATATGTGTATAAGAAAGAGATTTATATACAAGAGCAATTGAACATTGAGAAAACATCCCAGCCCAGTCCAGATCAAGTCCATAAGTCCGATATTA